TCAATCAGTCCCTGAGCTAATTTAATCAAACATGTTGACTATTGCCTTGAAGCCTTGGAGTTGAATCAGTTAGACATGCTGAAACTGAATCAGTCCCTGAGTTGAACTTTTCACATATGCTGTGTAACCATGCACACTCTGAGCTGAATCAACCAGATACGATGAAATTAGGCATTCCCCGAGCTACATTAATCAAACATGTTGATTTTGTGGTAGTTTGTAGCCACCCTGTAGTCCCTGAATTGAGATCAAACTGGTTTCACATCGTGTCTGTTTATAGCCATCAGACAAACGTGAATCCAGTCCGGCATCATAGTCCAGTATGAACAAGCTTACTTAAACATATTAGAAGCATAGAAGTAATCAGAACAACACTAAATTAACTGAAGACCATAGTCATTCTAAAACAACACCCAAATTTAAATAAATTGAAGTCAGATTTAATTCAGTTTGATGTGAAGTCTAAGTAACATTTTCAGAAGTGCACAGAAAGATTTACAAGCATTTAAATAATATAACAAAGGTCACATAAAGTTTGATTTAAAAAAAAGAGGAAAACATGTCACTGCATCATTTAAAATTATTGAAAAGTGCTATCCTCCTTATCTGTGGCAGTGTTCCTGATCGTATTCACCTTTTAATACAAGTCTACTGTGTACATTTTTATCAAAATGACAGATGGCCCCAAAGAATGCTCTTCATTCTAAGGACAAGTTTTGCAGCAGAAAAATATCTGGCTATTGGCTTCCTAATGTCCATCCATTCATCCATCCATCCATCCACTTTTTGTTGCCAAAATCTTTCAGGGCATAACTCCTCCTCCCTGTTCTTTCACTTTCCCTGCCTTGCCTTCTTTTTCGAGTCACTTGAGGCGGTTGTGACCATGTTGATGAGGTCAGAATATGCATAAATCAAAAGTGTAAAACTATTTAAGTGCTTTTTTGACTTAACTGCCTGATGGGCGAAAGCAATAAAACCCTCATTCTAATTATGGATCCAAATCCAAATTCTGTAATTTGTCCAAAATTAGTCCAAATTCTGTATTTTGTCAGGACATAATCTTTACATTTGTTGGCCCTAGAAATTAGGGCAATCAACTTTTTTGAAGAATTTTGAAGAATTGCATTCAACTGAAAGATTTATGCAAAATATTGCTTTAAAGGGAAGAGGAGGGTAGTCTATTATTATTATTAAATTAAATCAAATTTTATTTATCAAATGTATTACAGTACATCATACAGCAGTAGATTTAGACAGTGAAATGAGTTGACTGGAGAAATTGTGACATTAACAACATCTCGTCCAGGGTGAGGTAGGTGATGGTGAAGATTTGTATTGATTGGTTCTATTCAATTTGTTCTGCTGATGTTCTCAACAAAGTGTATATATTGTTTTTCCCAGTAATCCAGGTAACTGAAATATACTGAAAGATATGACCACCCATCACCTGCCTAACCTTTTAGCTATCCCTAATCCTAACAGTAATCCCTGTTCTGATATAACTCTGGAAAATAAACTTCCTTGCTGTCTGTTAGTTAGTTCCCTATGTTGTCTGAAATGGACAGATTGTTATTGCCACAATTTCCGTTAGAATTGAATTGTTTTGCCATTCAGTTTTCTTTAGCACTACTATGCTACGACATTTATTGGCTGGCTGTTAATAGATGTGCAAATATATCTTTTGTGTGTACTTCCGAAGAGTGGTCTTTATTTCTCCAATTAAGGTGTCAACTTTAATTCAACAATAATGCTTGGAATCCATTTGAGGCAGACCATGCAGTCTGAATGGCTGGAAAAGAATGGACAATAGGGGACAAAGACTACAGAATAGGGAGTTATTGGTCCTAGCAATTTTCTATAAGAAAAATAAAAAACATATCTTCTGAAGATACTGCACATGACTCACTTGAGAATACCCAATACACAATGCAGAAGCCTCTAATGGAAAACTTTATCTATTATTCAGTCAGTCTGTATATGACAGTTGGAGCAGTAAATTTAATACATGTCCTTCTATTTAATATCTCTTTAATAACAGAAAATCTATTTAATTTTTGAAACTGTTTTCTTTAGAGCTATTACCAAACTAATAGATGACATCTTCCTTTATGACACATTTCCAAATATTAACAGCAACCTTCACATCACACCCCCACAGGCTATATTCCATCTTCAGTTCCTAGAATGGTTAATTCAGGTTGGTTCTGAACTATCTAATTAGAGGTCAAGACCACAGAAGCGATTTAGAGATGTGTGGGATTCATTAAAACAGGCCCACAAAGATCTGCCAGTGAGATATTAGTGAAAAGTGAGGTGAAATGGTCTTAAGTTTAATGCTTTAATATTTTCAGTAATTATATTATGAAAGCAAAATTCTACTTAAAATTGATGTTTTGACTTTAAAGTATCTGGCCTCCAGGGTTGAGGGAACATTACATAACAGGTTTAACATGGCAAAGACATCTTTATAATGAAACAATGTACCCCTGATATCACTGGGCGCCTGGATCCGTATTGTATTATAAACTGACTCTGGGAAGCGAGGTGCTCCTGGCTGGCTCATCGGCCCCCACATGCGATCAGCCCCGACCATGCCCCCCTTCCCCAAAACAGCCATGCCCTCACGCACCGCCTTCCCTGAGGGACTAACAGCCGCCAAGCATCACCAGTAATCACACTCTGAATATAAGCCTAGCCCTTCCCCTAAGTACCAAACGGCTGCACTTACTGAGTGCGTCTTATGACCACTAGAGCCCATTCTTGTATGGTCTGTTCCTGACCTCCCGGACTTCGCATTCGTGTCTGAGGGTTTCCCGGTTTTGGGTGCCACGCCGAACGCCTGAACCTGCATTCTCCCCTCTGGATCACGTCTTCTGATTGTTTTGCTTACCTGCCATAAAGGTCTCCACCTGCCTGTTTCTGACTTGAATTTGAGCTTCTCAATTAAACATCCACACTTCCTGTGCTTGGATCCTCTTTGTCTATGGGGAAATACAGTGGTACCTCAGAACTTGAACTTAATCCGTTCAGAACTCCGGATCGAATCCTAAAAAGTTTGAATTCTGATTGAATTTTCCCCATAAGACATAATGGAAAACCAATTAATTGGTTCCTGGCCCCAAAAAATTACACCTAAATATGTTTTTTTTTTAGCATTTAAATACAAAATTAACAGGATAAAACAAGAAGAGCATATACTGTACTAAACACATCTAAGCACATTTATTAAAACAGTAATTTGTAAACTAAGAAAATAAATATCCAAACAATGTGTAAAGTTAAAAAAAAACCCAATGTGTCCTGCCCCGATCGTCCGCTCCTTCCGTGTGCCACGCCCCCTCGTTATCCCCGTGTGATCAGCTGTTTCTGGTTGTTGTCATTAGTCCTCTGTATTTAGTCCGCGTTTCAGTTCGTTTCCCCAGTTCACTCAGAACACTTAAATGTGAGAAACATTGTTCTATTTCAATTCAACTGGTGTAAACACTTGTGTTTAGATACACTTGATTGTCTTAAATGCAACTAGTACAACAGTCTCAGTTTTAAGATGGTACCCTTCCCGTTGGTATACAAAGAACCTCAACTCCATGTTGTTAATTTTCCAAGTGACTACCTGACTGTTTATCAGCAAGTGGAAACTGGATGGATGGATGCTTATTCCCTAGAAATTAGTTTTTACATCTGATCATTGATTGGTTTATTATCCAGTTCAATGGAACTCCCTCACTTGGTCTCTCACTCATGGAGGATGCTTAAGATAACCGGCAAATCACTTTATGTCCACATCTAGCAGATTCCTAGATAGTGATGTTACTGCAACTCCATGCTAGAATTAATGCACACTACAGCAGTACCACAAGGTTGTGAGGTCTGGTGACTTTCTGGAGCTGAGTGGCTACATGGTGTCATACAGCGACAAACTGCTGTGAAGCCTTTGTGTTGAGTCAGTCAGACACATGGATCTATGTCAGTTCCTGAGCTGAATTGGCCAAATATAACTTGACAATTAAGTTGGAGCCTGTATGTGCAGGTGTGTACGTGCAGGTGTGTACGTGCAGGTGTGTACGTGCAGGTGTGTACGTGCAGGTGTGTACGTGCAGGTGTGTACGTGCAGGTGTGTCGGTCTCTGACCAAACACACAGACATTCCATTAAGATTTAGTTCAGTTTAATTTGCAGTATAAGTACCATTTCTTTTCAGAAAGGAAGAACTACTTGCATATACCTTTGTCTGTCCAACTCAATTCCATTATTGGGCCAAAAATAAAATAAAATGAAGCTGAAAACTTATATATATATAAAAAAACCCAACAATATTGTCAGACTTCCAGCAATTCAGCAATTATTAACTGAAGTAGAATGTCCTGTTTGGGTTTGAATTGATTTGGCTTTAAATTGTTTCTTTTCATTCAGACTCTTTGACAAATGAAATGTTTTGGCCTTTTTGGCAAGAGTTTTTTTGGTTCGAAAAACAAACCAAGTTAATTTATTCATTCCTTGTCTACATTCTGTGCTTTCATGAGCATTGTGGCTTTCTGTCTTCCCACAGCTGAGAAATGAAATATGGTAATATATGGAACACATGAAATTTCAATATAAATTGTCAGTCCATAAATGTTCTTGCTGCAATAATGTCCATAACAAAAAGAGCACGGTCTGATGAGCTGGAAAGGCTTGTTTAGATAGGTCTGTCATATCCAATTTGTGAGGCAGAGGTCTTGAGTACTGTACAATTTAAAACACTTACATCGACTATCCTACCTGCGCTTTACATTTTAAAGCCATTCTTTTTGGTTGTTCTGTGCTGCATACGCAGCTATACATAAATATTCCAGACCAAGCTGTGTTTATCTTCTAACATCTTATCCTGGTCAACCTCACCTACGGCCTATCCGACGCAGCGTAGGACATAAGGCTGCGGACCGTCGGGATTGGACTGTCACCCCAATACTGGGCACACAAAGGCATCAGTATTTAAAAAAAAAAAAACAAGGATTCAAAGCGTCGTACACTAAATATTTTAATAATAAGTTATCTTGTACATTCAGTGATTACGTTCATGTTACCAGAAGCGGTTGGTGAAGCCTGAACATTCACTTAAGTTTTATGCCCATTTTTATTGTTACTTATAATTATTAAAATGGCAAAGGAACCAAAATGTTACAATTAGGGAAAACAAAGTGATTCCTAATACTTTCTTTGAATCCAAACCAATTTCATTATGAAATATCACAAAATCTGTTACTTCAGCTGTCTGGGCGGGTGCTCTAATACAGCCACAACATTAACGCTTCTCACCATAGTGTTACATGTATAATTCACCAACAATCATCACATTTTCCTCATTATTCAACCTGTTGACTGTTAAGAAAAATGTAGGCCAAGATCATAAATCAAATTGTATTGATTTGTTGCTTTACTTTATTTGTCGGTAAAGTGCTTTGGGGCCAGCTATCTTTCAAATTGCACTGTACACTGTACGTATGAAATGAATTAAATTCAGGGTCCTAAAAAATGTAAGATCTGTTTGGAGTCACCAGACCAGCTTGCAATGCTGATTGTCCCACAGCCTTTGCTAGTTAAATATCTGATTTCTTTTCACTCAAAACTCATTTATATGACATTACTACTATAGGTGTAGGTTGTATCTCTTTTTAATTGTTTTTATTAATTTTTTTGCCCACATAGCTGACAGGAATTTTATGGCACAAGAACAGACCAGTAAACAACATACAGACTGCAAGTTGCCAAGATTAACATATTAAACAAGATTCAGAATTTAATTTGAAAATAAAGGAATGATTATTTAAAGGTTTATGAAAAAACCTGTTGATTTAAAGGTTTAACTTACCGAAAAGAACCAAACACAATAACAATTCTGTTAAACATTTTTAAATAAAGTAAAAACGATTCTGGCTTACATATATGTTATATATATATATATTTATATATATTTCTTTGTGTAACAAACTCTACTTTTGAACCCGTCGAACACAGATAATAACTAGGTTTTTTGTCTTGAAAGGAAACGTTAAAGGGATTGTCACAAGTTTATGAAAAATGTTCATTGTAAACCATATATACATATCCGTTCCTTCTATTTTCTAGCTCTGTGACCGAACATTTGAAAGCCTCCATGGCCAGAGAACAGTTAATAGTCCCAGTGGCCACAGTCACAAATGGGTTCCAGAGTTTTCAAATAATATGGTTCGTTTGAAATAAAACTTTTATTGGATGGATATGGCATTCCTACATGCTTAGCTTTGTTTAGTGTTGCCCCTGGATAGTAGAAGTAATAATAATAATAATAATAATAATACTAAAGTACCATAAAGACCTTCCATTTTTGTCATGGCTGACTGTGTATTTATGGTTTAGTTTGTACGTTCTGTTTTCCATTAGGAACTGTGGTCACATTAAAACGGAAAGACACAGGAACAACAAACTGCAGAACAGCAGAAAGTAATATTGTGTAAAGCACAGAAATAAAACAATTACTTCACAATTTCAAGCTTCTATCCACACGAACAAAAGGAACCATAAATAACTGAATAAATTCTGTGGAATTTGGCATGTTACACAGTAACTAGTAAAGCCCTCGTTCCAGCGTGCCAGGAGGAGAGATAGATCAGGTGTAAAAACCTCGATCTTTTCTTGCAGGTGCAGGAATACCAGCATCTATCTCTGTGAAATTCTATTACATAAGTTGTGCTGTAAATGTTTTCTTTCCTTGTTTTTGATTGTTACAACACGAACAAAGACTGGTAGCAATGGAGCGATGCCTGTGCTCTTACAGCACTATGTCCTTCAGGCGCTTAGATTCAGGAGAGCTCTTCTCCTGACAGTCATGCAGGCCCTGCTTGATGTCCCGGACATCAGGCTCGCTGTCCTTCCCCTCTGCCTGCCGCAGTAGGCTCTGCTGGGTGATCCGTTCAGCATCACGCCGTTTCAGAGTGCTGTAGGTGGAGGGAAATTTGGCCAGAGGGCTCTTCAGGTGCACGGGGGAGGACAGGGGGCTGGCTACCTCTTGGCCATTACCTGCCTCCCTCACCATCCCACTGGCTTTCGGGCTGCATGCTGACGCCTCCACTGTCCTACGCCCCTTCGGCTCACACCGCTCGTGATCCTCTGGGCCGTCCTTGCCAAAGGTGGCGAAAGTCCTTTTGGTGCCACAGTCCTTGTAGGGCGGAGCGTCCACAGTGGGTGGCTCAATCGGGAGGGTGATGACGCTGCTGCTGTGTTCCGGGGATTTGACATGGGCGGGGAGGCGCGGCATCCAGCACCGGTCCGAATGGCCCAGAATCCGGCACTCTTCCTGACAGTGGAAGCTATCTGTCAGGTCTGTGGAGAAAAAGTGTTAAACACTTAGCATAAACATTTAGCATAATATAGCTTTTAAAATCAGAAAGGCCCATCTTGACCTAAATTCAGCCATGTTTTTTTTTTTTTTTTTAAACAATGGTATTTGTAATAAACATTCACCTCAGACAGTAGTCATAACATGCAAATGTGAACATAATCAATTTGGTGTTGAGACATCAGACAGACTTTTATTCTCCTGCCTCATCTCTGCTATGGGAGACTGACACACAGCTTTGTGGGGAAATTCCACATCACTGTCCAGTGTATAAAACTTGGCCCATAGATCAGATTGACAGGACTTGGTTGTAGGTAGAGTTTTAATTGGATGATCTGTCAAGCCTACACTGCTGGTTTCAAAAATGCCAAGGTCTATGAAAAGTCACCAATTTTGCCTTTCCTACCCTTCCTTGACTGTGAGAGGCATGTCTGCCTCACACTTATATCGATATTTAAAGACTGAAGATGGGCATGTCGTCATGCTCCTTAACCTACTTCAGGTTCCAATGAGACTCACAGAAAATCGGCCTGTCATCAATCTCTGAATTTGGATGTCGATAAAGAGCAGGAGCCGATCAATATCTACCTTATTAATAAAGACATCAGCAATTCATCTTTCATTTCATGAAAATCTGTTTTTTTAACTTATCTTTAGAAAGTTATGATGTCAGACCCTTTATATATGTACAGGTATGTATAACCTTGTGAGTAAAACAAATGTAAGCACAAGAATAACTTACTAATGTTCTATCCACAGAGGTGATAGTTCATAGTTTCTTTACCTTCAAAAGATGTTAATGTACTTTAAAAAGCATGGCTGCATCACATTCTCTCCCTGCTCTGTGTTTGCATGCTCACCCCATGATGGATGGCTTTACACCACAAATACCGCTTTTGTTGACAGTCCCAGCGGTTGTGTGAGATGATGTTTCCCTGTACAGCGCCCACAGCCTGTGAGCTTGTGTGCCCTGTGACACGCTGGCTCTGTGAGCCCAGTGCTCCCTGGCTGGGACAGGCTTCCTGCTATCGATACTAAATGACAGGATGGAAACTGGGTCCATTCAAACAATACTGTCATAAATAAAATCAAGAAATATACGCAGTAAATACTAAACCAAAGACTCTCATGTTATTTCATCTTCATTTGCTTTACCAAGGAGAAAGCATTTTCACAACTTCCAAAAAAAAAAAAAAACATTCAGAAAATAATGGAAGTGTACAGATTATACTCAGTTTGTTAGGATAAAAGATTTTTTTATTATTAATTTTGACTAAAATGAAGTGTAGCATACTAAAAACACAAATGTTAAAATATTTATGTTAGTATTCAAACACGTATAATCCCACAAACACACATATTGTGCTAGACGGACGGCAGCGTGGCCATTCTCCTGTGCTTGCAAATGGTTTGATGTTTGAAAGTAAATTATAATCAGGCTATAATTTGCACTATTTGCCTTCATTTTGAGGTCAAATTACATAGCTGTTTCAAGTCAATGGTCCCCACTAATTGAATAAAGATAATTAGGAAATGTTAGATTAAAGAAAATACAGAACAACTATCAACATGTGGTGGAGCAGCAGTAACTTCATTGTGAGTGTATTTTTTTTCTTTTTAAAAATCATCTGTTCTGGTTTTTGCTGAACTACAGAGAAATCTGATCAAAGTATTCTGTGCTGTCAGGGTTCCTACACATTCTCCACTTTAAAATTCCATAACGAAATACCAAAATAGTCGCATACTTTATTCCCTTTTACATACTTATCCAGACACGGAAAACAGCTAAATGAAATTCCATATGTCTCCGTAATGTGCAGGAACCCCGCAGTGTGCAGCAACAGACCCAAATTAGTGTAACCACCTATTTAATCTAATCAAGAAATAAACCATTCAGTCAGAGACATGTTTCAGCCGCTGCTTTTTGCTGAGACATTAATATGTGAATTAGTGCAACAATCCTGTTGATGGGTCAACATCCTGACATGCATTTTGCTTAGACTCCTTCCTAATGCACATAAACATTCCGCATAAGCACATTACTGAAAACAGGTCAAATACTTCTACTACTACTACTACTAATAATAATGATGATAATAACCACAGCAATGATATAACATGGGTGGATTCATTTATGTACAGAGGAACATTTCTGTTGAATTAATCAACGATTGGGAGAATAATCTGAAATGATAAATGTTTCATTTTCAGCGTTCAACTTAGACTTTATACTGTAATGCAAATGGAGCTGTGTGTCTTTATGTATATGCAGACATGGATACTTTCACTTAGCCTCACTGAGATGACTCAGAGAGGTCATTTTTTTCCAAAACATTCTTTCTAATGCATTACAAACAAAGCTGAAATTCTGCAGTCCATGTTCTTAGCCATGCATAAACTCTCAGGTCACAGCCCGCTTGTATCGTGCCTCTAAAGTTCAGCTGAATTTTCTTTTTATCCATTTTGTACAAGCAGCCAGTAGACGGCTATGCAGCCTAAAAGCTTTTATATGGCTCCTTGGATATCCTGTACTCCATCTCAACCCCAGGCATAATGCAGGAAAGGGACCATAAAGGAGCGACTCTCCCATCATCTACAAGTGATAAACTGCCAGTTGTCTTCAATGCCAAATACACAGGATAATTTAGAATTTTACATTGTTATGGGACAGGCAGGTATAGAATATGGATGGATGGATTTAAGGGGTAGAGTACAGGGAATACTTCCTGATGATCTCAGCTGGATTTTTCAAAACTGGCTGCAGGGGACAAGAAAAAAATGCAATGCTGTAAACGTGAGGATATACAGAACTGTACATGCAGTTGGACTAAATAAGATAGGAAGCTGTGTTATATATATGATTCCAGTTAAAATGCAGCCTGAAAACCAGTAGCCTCTGAAGTGGTGACGCTCTGCCAGGGACATTACTGATACTGGGCGATAAGTTCAATTCCAAGATTGCAAAAAAATGATAATATTAAATTACACATCTAATGGCATTATTACTTGGTGACTTCGTGTTCCTATATCTTATCATTAGCAAGGGGATTGAGACAATTTCAGACACAGAATATCTGTTCCGTAGTTGAAATGCTATATAATTACAGAAATGCTATATAATTACAGAAATGCTTTATAATTACAATCAAAGCTGCCAGTTCTGCATGAAGTTTGGAGCTGGGTCTTAACATGACATTTATGTGAATATTTTAGATATTTTATCACAATAATGGTATTACTTACTTACAAAACCACTGTATATTATGTGGAAATAATCCAACTGACCCATATTTTTTTAATTGAATTTTAAGATTGAATCTCTTTTTCCAATTTGTATTTAAACTCATTTTTTTGTTAATTCAAATCATACAGTTAACATAAACTCACTGGACACTTTATTAGGTAAATCTGTTGAACTGCTTGCTGAAGCAAATGTCTAATCAGTCAATCATATGTCAGCAACACAATGTATGAACTCATGCAGATATGAGTCAGGAGCCTTAATTGATGTTTATATCACACACCAGGATGGGATGAAAGGTGACTTAAGTGACTTTGAACGTGGCATGAGTGTTGGTGCCAGATGGGCTGATATGACTTCAGATACTGCTGATCTACTGGGATTTTCATACACAACCATCTCTAGGGTATACAGAGAATAGGCCGAAAGAGAAAATAACATTCAGTGAGCGGGAGAAAATGCCTTGTTGATGGCAGAGGAGAGAGAAGAATGGGCAGACTGGTTCAAGCTGATAGAAAGGTAAATGAAAGTCAAATAACCACTCGGTACAACCAAGGTATGCAGAAGAGCATCTCTGAACGCACAACACGCCGAACCTTGAATCAGATGGACTACAGTAGGATTAGACCACACCGAGTGCCACTCCTGTCAGCTACGAACAGGAAACTGAGGCTACAGTGGACATGGGCTCACAGAAACTGGACAATGGAAGACTGGAAAAACGCTAAAGTCTAATTAGTTAATTTATTCAATGAGTTTATGATAAAAGTTGATGAATTGTTTAGTTATGACAGAGCCCCTTATGGCACACGGGAGATGATAAAAATGAATAGAAGAAAAAATAATGAGCCCTTTTGCGAGATCTCACAGTACATTTGCATTACTATAAATAACTCCATTGTGTTCATTCAAAGTACAATGAGTTAATGGATTAATAACTACAATACTTTCAGGGGCTCAGAGCATTATAAATATGATTTACAGATAAAAGTAGATTAAAATTAATATCCAATCATGGTCACACGGTGAACCAAAAGCTTCACTGATCTTCCTAGTCTATTAGATCTATAAACATATTTTCAAACTTAAATGAAAATGTTTTTAAACATCATTCTACACCCTCCCCACCCCACCCCACCCCCACCCCATTTTTATTAACATAATCTTGGCACCAACAGCTTTCTCCATGTAACCTAAAGAGTGTAGCGGAAAGAGATTTTAAGTTTCCAAATTAAGCTACTAATTGAATTTGTCATTGCATTGCCCACCATGTCCAATTATAACCAAAACATCACTTTACTTCTTCTGAAGTAACTCTCTTGCTTAGGCATGGAGGACTGAACAAAACAAATCAGGCTCTTACATATAAACTGAAACTTGGTAAACGTAAAATTTTATCTGAGAAATGAATCATATCATGCACAGCAGGGGTGCTAAACTCCAGTCCTGGGGGGCCAGAGCCCTGCACATTTTTGGGTTTCCCCTCATTTAACGCACCTGATTCAACTCCTTGTGTTAATTACCACACAGCTCTTGAGCTGAATCATTTGTGGTGGAACAGGGAAAGAACTAAGATACACAGGGCTCCAGCCACCCAGGACTGGAGTTGGGCAGCCCTGATGTACAGTCAGTGAATGATCTTTTACCTAGATTATGTAAACCAGTAGGTTACGTGTAAATCATGGGAGATATTACCGCAAAGCAAAGCAGTGATTTTTAATGACTTAAAATGGCATCTCTTGT